TCAGAGAATCTTGACTTCAGTTGTGCTGTGAATGTTGAGGATGAATGCCTTCAATGTCTGCAGCCACAATGGTCATGGAGGGCTTGTCCAATTTACTGCTTAGGTATAGTCCCCCCTGGTCCTAAGTGAATTATTACACGACTTTATTTTTGCTAGTTTTGATTTTTGTCTATCAGATTTGATAAAAGTAGAAGCCGTGTGAGATTCTAGATGGGTCCCCCCCGTGTGTGTATATTGTATGTTTGTACTGCCTGTCGGTAGGATGTCACACGTGTCTCTGCACGGCTCTGTATCTCCATCTTTATCTTGCAGGGTAACAAGCCATGGATTTCCTTGCCACGTGGAAAGGGTATCCGTCTCACCATCGCTGAGGAGAGAGACAAGAGACTGGCAGCCAAGCAGACCAGCGGCTAAATCCAAATTCTTTAATACGTCTATTAAATAAAACTCTGTTCTGAAGTTCTGTGTGCGGACTCGTTTTTATGCTGCGTGTGACATCTCATCGTCACCTCTGGCGCTGTATCTGAGGGGGGTAGGGGTGTCGGGTCATTCTATCCGGCAGATCGCCAAAGATTTCTCGTTGGAGGATTCCACCAAATATTTTTTGGATTAGAGTGTGGAGGTCCGTGCCGTAGTTGCCGGTGTATCTGAAGCCGCTGTCATAGGATGTCCCAACTTGGCTCCTAGACACGGCCATCTTGCCCATGGACATCAAACTTCTGGTGTCTGTGTTGCAGAGGGCGATATTTTTTAAAGCCGAAACTTCGAAGGATTTTCTCATTCGCTTCACCCCTCCCCGTAGCACCGTGGTTTCTTCCACCGGCCCCATGTCCATGTAAGAAACAATTGTGATATAGGGGCTGGTGGAAGGGACCACAGTGCTTGGTGGTGTCCAGAATGAGACAATCCTAAGAGTGTCCGGTGAAGAGCGTTCTCTGGTCGTGAAGATCAGTGGTTGGATGGTAACATTTCGTCGTGGACCTCATTGAGGTTTATTTTTTCTATTTAACCTGTTGTGAAAAAACGCACGGACAGCAGACTCACATGGGCGGGTTACCGTAATTAGACGGCATTTTTTTTTTTCTACTCGCTCGTGCCCCTTTACGGGCAGAAAAAACCCGGCCGGTCTTTACGGCCGTTACCGGCTGATTCACATACAAACGATTGGCGGGTCTAACTGCCGATCGCTTGTATGTTTTGTCTTTTGCTCGTCGTCCCCCCCTTCCTCCTCGGAGTGCTGACCCCTCACCTTCAATCCCAGGATCTGCTAGCCCATCTGCGGCTGGGAGGGAGCTCAGCATCTTCCTCCTCGCTGATCTCCCTCCGTAGTGTGAATGCGGAAGTGATGTGTATTACATCACTTCCGCATTCATCTGTCAGTAATTGGCTGCTATAGCCAGAGAGAAGCAGCAGATCTCTGCTTCATCAGCTTTTTTTTGGGGGGGTCCCCAGGTGACATTTAGGCCCGGTTCACACCTGGGTGTTTTGTAACGCGTTCCTACGCTCTGCAAAACGCTCAAACACGGAAATCCCATTATTTCCTATGGGTATGGCTCACACCTGGGCGTATAACAGGCCGTATGAACGCGTTACAAAACGCCCTACGCCCAAACAAGTACAGGAGCTTCTTTGGGGCGTATTTGCCACGCGTATCCATTGGGATACAGCCAGGTAGCCCTTGGAAATGCGAGTTTGTGGCGTGTTTTTTTTACCACGAATTGCGCTAAAAACGCACGTATTGGATACGCCTAGGTGTGAAGCCAGCCTTAGTGGTCTTGGAGACCCCTAATGTATATCAAAAAGTTAAGTCCCCCCACCCCCACGTTTAGGCACATATAAACGTAAATACGCGTACGATGTGCCAGCGTGCAATAATGACAATGTGCGCTACACATGTTACATATCGTTCGGGAACGTCGCAGTGACAGCAATCCTTCTCGGGCCATCAATCTCTGACACTAAACTGATGAGCGGTAAAAGCTTTTAAAGTGTCGCCTGTGGCCAATTTTGGGTAATGTCGTTTTTTTTTTTTAGGTTTCGCGTGTGTAATTTTAAGGCTTGACATGTTCGGTGTCGATCTACCCGACGTGACCCCGACTTTTATATTTACCAAAAAATTGGCTGATAATAAATGATTTAATATAGGGGGAACATTTTTATTTAATTTTTGGTAATTTTTCCTTACGGATCCCGACATCTAAGTCGGGATCCGCTGAGGCGTCTCAGTATACCGCGAGCTGTAGCTCTCTATATACTGAGCTTAGAGTGACGGGAGGACGCTAGTTTGTGTCCTCCTGTTACCCTAAGGAGAACTATGGAGAAAAACACTGACCCCATAGTTCTCCTTTTAATATACGTTGTTTCCTGGAAAATAAGACACTTGTCTTTTATTTTTTTTGCTCAAAAAAAGACACTAGGTCTTATTTTTTTTTAATGTACAACAATCCGCACTTATTCATGTAGAAAAGTCTACATGTATTCATGTACACAAATATGGTGATCAGGGGTGCCGCACCTTTCCAAGAGCAATTTTCTAACCAATCGCTGGCCAGAATGAGGGAAGCGCGCTGTCACTATGGATACCTCACAGGCGGAGTGCATTTGGTATCACTCCGCCTGTGACAGGAGCCGGCGCTATAGAGGAGACATCGGCTTATGCGGCTCTGCTCCCTCCGCTGCCGCCTCGCTTCCTCCAGCGCCGGCTTCGTTGGCACCGCTGATTCTCTCCCGCGGCTCTTCGAGTTCCCCCTCATGCCACCACCGGCCCTGGGAATGGTCACAACCAGGTCTTACTTTTTGGGGTAGGTCTTATTTTGGGGGAAACATGGTAGTAAAATAAACACCGCCCCCCCCAAGTGGTGATTAAATAACCCCAAAAGAAAGCTCCTTCTGTCCCCAAACAAATGGTATAAAATTCATTTCAGTGCAGCGTCGCATGACGGAATAAACGTCAGTCAAAGTACCGCAGCGCTGAACAATGGCCGGGACAGGAAGGGGGTGTGACACCGCGGTCAGCAAATGGTTAAAGTAATTTTTTTGTTTTAACCATGCGAGCCACTACTCGGTACGGATACATGAACACCACGTCGGCACCAGCAACCTTCTGAAATGATATCTGTACATTGCCCCCGATCCCTACGTCGGAAGGAAGCGGAACCTTCTCCGGCTTGGAACGGGTTAGTGGAGAATGCAGAAGGGTGGAGTTCATGTCCATGGGGGGAAATCAGCAGCTTCATGACTGAGATTCGCCGATTCCTCCTCTTCCCAGCCCCGTCCTCGCGGAAGAAACTCGCCGTCCCATTTTCGGATTTGTTTTTGTTGCAAGAACACGGGAGGACTAGAGAGATTCCGCTGGAGGACTGTCCGCGGCGTCCTTGTAGCCGTTGGAATCTTTAACGCGCGACTTGTCATTCCTCGCTTTGATACATTTGTATCCTGTGATCGGCATTGGAAAACATTTGCCGGCGGTCGGCCGCCATGGTGGCTCTGATTCTTTTTTTCGGGTCGTCGTTGAGCACCTGATGCCTTTCCACAAGCGGTGCGTCCAACCGCGATCCCCCTGGGGAAACGCACGGCGCGGCCTGCGGTTACTCTATCCCCAAAATGTCGCAGCCGATGGACCCGGCCCGCCATGGGACCTTGGACACGGGTTGGCGGGTCGGGTTGGAGATGACTCCGGCACGCGCCGCCTCGCCAGGTGCGTTCAGCCCCGTACCTGCGACACGTTTGACCTGAATCGGAGGCGGAGACTATTCCCGGGGAAAGGCGTCGCGTTCTTGCCGGGGAGCTCCGTGCGGGTGCAGGAGCTGCGGGACGCCGGCCTGCGTCATTTGATCACGTTGATCCTTCAGATGTCGGATTTGAGCCGCCTGTCGCTGTCGCTCTTCGAGGAGTTGGAGGATCTGCTGCGGGCGACGCAGAGTCGCATCGGCTCCCTGCAGCGGCGGACGGGAGGCGTGTACTGGGAGCTGTGCAGGACTACGAGACGCTGGGCGCCGCCGGGTCATGCCCCGCCTCTCGCTACAGGTAGATGTCATGCCTTGTCTGTTTTGAGGTGACTGAGGGGCCAAAATGTGAATGGGGCCCTTCAAGCCAAAACTGTCTTTCTTGGATAGAGTAGGGAAGGGTTAAAGCTCATTTTATTTTCAGCAATGTGTCCCATAGGGGAGATTTCCTTTCACTTCCTGTCCCGTGGACACAACAGGAAGTGAGAGGAAGTACTGGTCACCAGGGCAAATATTGAGAGCCCCCCCCCTTCACTGTAATTACATTGCTTATTTTTGATGCTGTGATGTCATCACTGGCTCTCTGTGCTTCTTTATGCAATGCGAGCAGATCAAGGCTGGTGGGAGGGGCCAGCAGGGTGCTGTACATAGCTTCCTGAAAACATCACAGCAGCCTGCCTCAGTACTGGTCTCAAGAGCCCTCAGCGCTGATGCAAGCAGTGGGAGGAGTTATGCAAATGTAAATGGCATAGGTAACGCCCACATAGGATGCGGAGTCTTCATGATTGAAAGAAATGAATAAAAGGGGTGGGACCAGGGACAGTCAGGAGGAACAGACTAGATGATGCCGGACGTCCTGGCTGCAGCTTCTAATGCACATTGTGAGGAGCTCCCGGTGTGCAGTGACATCAGAGGAGCCGGTACGACTGTGCAAGACTGAGGGGGGAGGACAGAGGTCAGATAGAAGACTGAAGGGAAGGACAGAGGTCAGATATGAGACTGAAGGGGAGGACGGAGGGCAGATAGAAGACTGAAGGGAAGGACAGAGGTCAGATATGAGACTGAAGGGGAGGACGGAGGGCAGATAGAAGACTGAAGGGAAGGACAGAGGTCAGATATGAGACTGAAGGGGAGGACGGAGGGCAGATAGAAGACTGAAGGGAAGGACAGAGGTCAGATATGAGACTGAAGGGGAGGACGGAGGGCAGATAGAAGACTGAAGGGAAGGACAGAGGTCAGATATGAGACTGAAGGGGAGGACGGAGGGCAGATAGAAGACTGAAGGGAAGGACAGAGGTCAGATATGAGACTGAAGGGGAGGACGGAGGGCAGATAGAAGACTGAAGGGAAGGACAGAGGTCAGATATGAGACTGAAGGGGAGGACGGAGGGCAGATAGAAGACTGAAGGGAAGGACAGAGGTCAGATATGAGACTGAAGGGGAGGACGGAGGGCAGATAGAAGACTGAAGGGAAGGACAGAGGTCAGATATGAGACTGAAGGGGAGGACGGAGGGCAGATAGAAGACTGAAGGGAAGGACAGAGGTCAGATATGAGACTGAAGGGGAGGACGGAGGGCAGATAGAAGACTGAAGGGAAGGACAGAGGTCAGATATGAGACTGAAGGGGAGGACGGAGGGCAGATAGAAGACTGAAGGGAAGGACAGAGGTCAGATATGAGACTGAAGGGGAGGACGGAGGGCAGATAGAAGACTGAAGGGAAGGACAGAGGTCA